AGCACCAGCACCAGCACCAGCACCAGCACCAGCACCAGCACCAGCGCCACCACCACCACCACCACCACCATTGTGCGGAAAATGGGACGCGGCACCACAGCCGGGCGACACATTCAGCCGGCATCGTGTGTAAATAACAGGACGTGAGGGCCAAAAAAAAAAAGGACCAAAAAAATATGCCCTCCTTTTTTTGTTCAGCACTTCTCAACAGCTGCTCAATGCAGATTCAACTCATATCTTTATCTACTTCGTTCTCACCGCCAGCGGATCAAGCTGGATGTCAAGCTTGGTAAAGGCCGGCATGCAAGTACATCCTCCGCTGCCAGGCTAAGGCCCAAGCCAAAAAGATAGATGTTCCAATGAAAACTCCGAACTCCCGAAGCGGCGCTAGCTTGGAGTCCCGGAGGAGGATGTAGCCTTTACTTTAGATCTGCGACGGTTGGTGCTAGGAACCGGCAGCACTCCGCAACCGCACTCTTGGAGACTCTCAGGGCATGACAAAAAGCCGATCCCGCCACTGGCAGCATCTCTCGAAGCGAAGCCTTTCCAGATCAGTGTGCTCCAAGCAACCTATCAGTTCGTAAACATAGCACCTGCATTGCTTCTGCGTCAAAAGAGACACCCGCACACAAGATGTGAAATATCCATATATATATATATGTAGGTATGTTTCTGTATACATCTGTTTACATAGATAGATAGATAGATAGATAGATAGATAGATAGAGAGATAGATAGCGAGATAGATAGAGATGGAGATGGAGATGGAGATATATAAATAGGTAGATAGATAAATAGATGCTTATTGATTTGTTGATGGTATACTTGTTTATTTGTTTACTTATACACACATAGGTCACATAGAATATCAAAATGGGTGCATACGTGTGGTAATGTTATATACGGCTATGCTATACCATGCCGCATGCCGCATGCCGCATGCCATTCCATGCAAGCACAGCCCCCCAAACAAGCCAAAACTGAGCACAATGCCCGGTGCACGTACAGGAGGCGCTGGGCGTGTTCCTCGGCCTCGTTGCCTTGGCAAGGGGCAAAACCTTTTGAGCCCCCCATATCCACATAAAGATAGGTATGTGCGTACGCGTAGAACTCTCTCTCCTTTTTTTCATCTCAGCCAAAGGAAGAGCCGGCCAGCCGTCCGCCGCGCACGCATGCGCACTGGTCTGTTGTCTTGTTGTGAAAGCGGACAATATGATGAGCGCGGTCGGGAAACTGTGATGACCCCCCTCAACCTGAACAGTATACACCACCCCCGCGCCCGTGTGTATGTGTGTATGAGTATGTATGTGTATGTATATGTGTACATATATATATATGTATACTATACCTACGTACATACATACATACATACATATATAGAAATATATGCATATGTATCGATGTATGTATGTATGTATGTATGCATGCATGTATATATGCAAGTGTGTGTGTGTGTGTGTCTGTGAATGCATGCATGCATGCATGTATACATGGATGTATACATGGATGCATGGATGTATGGATGTATGGATATATGGATGTATGTATGAATGTATGTATGTATGTATGTATGTATGTATAAGCGTCTCGGTCCGAGCCTTCGCGTATGTTGTTTATTCCCTCCGCCTATGGTTGGTTTTGAATGCCTCGATCGGTCGGCCCAGCAAGCAGTTCGAGCGGGGATCTTTCGGAGCTGTCTGAGCTGGAAGAGGAGGACCGGCCTTTGCCTCTGCTTCGGCCTTTGTATTACGCTATGTCTGGCTTCCCGGACCTCCCACCGCGCAACGCTGCAGACCTGGCGGCCATTGCAGACGCCAACTTGGTGTACTCGGAGCGCACCCTCCGCTCCCTTGCTTGGTTCCGCAACGCAGTCCTCAGGTTCTTTTGCTGGCAGTTTCGAAGAAGCTTCATGGAGCTCACCCTCAGGCAGAACCAAAGATCAATTTCTGCATCGGTGGCGGCATGGGGCCGCACCCAACACGAGCTCCAGGCAGAAGAAGTGCTGGGGAGGGCCACGGCTCAAATGGATGAGCAAGCGGCCGCGCGTCTCAGGCGAGCGTTTACATGGTTGCAGGAGGCTCTGCGGCAAGCACCAGAACGTAACGATCGAGCATGGATCATCACGACTGGAAACCAATTTTGCCCACCCACCCGGGTGCTGCACCAACGTCTGGGACCACACATTGTCGCGGTGCTTCGGCGACACTTACAGGAGGAACTGGCGGACGAGGTTGCCGAGACCATCCTCAACATGGCCCCTTCAATGGGGTACCAGGACTATCTCACTGCCCTGCTCCCCTGGTTGGACCCGACCGAACAACTCAATTTCCAGCAGTGGTTCCAGGAGTACGAGCAACTACAACGCTTGGCTCTGCCCGAAAGGATGGACCCTCTCGAATCTGGAGAGGCTACTGAGGGGCCGACATCGGCAGGCGACGAACTACCTCGAGGTTCTGCCGACCCACCGCCGCAGCGGAGAGGATGAGAATAGCCGGACGGACTGCCCTGGTCCCAATTCCAGGGACACGGGAAATGCACTGCCAGGCCGGGAGTGCTCTGCTATTTGCCATGATCCACGGTCAACTTTGCATCATGTCAGCAGGTTGGGGGTCGTAGTGGTCGAAACCCCCCTGAGCCGCCCTGTCATGCTTTACCCTGCCTGAATTACAGGCGAAGCACTCCGACCCTTTTCAGACAACAGCCACCTGCTTAGCAGCTGGCACCAGGAAATCTCAGCTAGACGTTTTGAATGCAGCATGTTTTTCGGCAATATGTGCCCCTCTCGACTCGACCCACATAAATCGGTGTATGAGGCTCAGCGTGGGGCCTCCCTCGCTGGAACCCTGTGCCAGACGGCGGCAAGCCTGCATCAACCCAGCCCAGGCCGCACGCTTTCTTTCAGCAGGGTGCACTCTTATTCTAGCAGGTTGCAGTCTGCTGGTGGGGGTTTGGCTCTGCTTCCCACGCCGCAAGCAGCACTTCTGCACCCAGCGCATTATTGCAGGCGTCTACAGACGGCGCCGTGTTGATGCCTGCGCCGCTAGACCCCAGGGGCGGTGCACCCGCAAGCGCACTGCAGAATGCCGAGCAGAGAGCTGCCATCTTAAGCCACTAAGTTGCACAGTTTCCCTTAGGGCTACCAGACAGCTTGCACAGGTTATGTTTTGGTTTCTGCTGATCCATTCCTGCAGCGCAGCCTCTCAGCACGCCACTCTAGGTACCCTCTCCCCTAGACTCCCTACTCCCCATCCGGGTTCAACCATAACATCGCATGGTCGAGTGGCGCAGCAGCTCTCGTTCGCTCGCAAACGCGCTTTTAAGCGTGCCCAGCAGAGAGCACTCCGCTTCGGCACTACTCAATATAAGGGTAGGACGCACACAGCGCAAAGCCTTCAGCTTCGGGTTATAGGCCAGGCCCCGTCTAGGTCTCTTAGCCCCAGGATCCCTAACCACTGCCTGCGCCTCTTTTCGTGGAATGCCGGTGGATTGCATGCTGGACGCTACGCTGAACTCCTAGAGTGGTTTGAGACCGAGCGAGACCGTGGAGCCCCCGTGCACATAGCCTGTATCCAGGAAACACACTGGAGTGCGGATTCTGAATTCACATCTGGACGGTGGCATTCTTTGCATACGGGCTTAGGAAAATCTCAAGCAGGCATCCTGGTCCTCATAAGCAAGGAAGTAGCCTCGTCACAAGCTCTACTGTTTTCGGCTTTGGACCCAGGCAGACTCTTCCATGTTAGAATTATGAGGGAGCAGGTTATTGACCTCTTAGGAGCATACCAATATGCTTGGCATACACAAGCTTCGCATTACGACCCTAACTCTCCCCAAAGCCAAAGCCTGCTTCGCCTCCGAGCATCGTTCTGGCATGCCTTCCAGAAATGGGTACGAGCGGTCCCCGCCCGTAATTCTCTAGTTGCGTTAGGAGACTTCAACTGTACACTGACACCAGCCCATCCCCATGTAGGACCCGGAGTCGCACCCCACAAAGCCGGAGCCCACACTGACCAGCAGGAATTTCAGACGTTGGTGCAGCATTTGGGGTTGCTAGCGGCTAACACGTGGGGTCGCAGGGGCCGCTCCGCTGGCACTTTTCTGCAGTTCCATCGGCATGCTGTACAAATTGACTTCATTTTGCTGCGCCTGCCCTGTGCACAGGCAGAAAGGCTTGCTAAGGTCCAGCAGGATTCACCGCTTGTCCACCCGACGAGCCTGCGGCATGCACCCATCATAGGATACCTCCAATCCCTCCCTACTTCCCCTACTAAGCCTCCGCCACAACAGCTCAAAGCCTTCGAGTCTTCGAGGTGCGCAACACCCTCAAACAGCAACCAGGCCTTCCAGACGCCTTTAGGGCACAGGTGCAGACCCTACTCCCCCATAAGTCCATTGAAGAGGCCCTCTTGCAAGCCTGGCAGCGATGCACGGCACGACCAGATTCAGCCAGCCAGGCACAGCTAGGACCGGCCCGCCAGCGGCATACACTCAACACCTTTTGGGAAGCGAAACGCGAGCTCCGATCTATGCATTCGCAGTTAGAACACTACTGGGGTCCAGTTGTCTGGTATGCTGCGGAATCCAGCTCGGCTGTCGCCCTGCGCCATTTCCCTCGCTGCACTGGTCGCCTGCGACAAATTCTCCGAACCTGGCGCTCCCAGATCCGGTTTCAACAAGAGGAGCGTTCTCTCAGACGCAGAACCAAACAGAACAAGGTAGATCAGGTCAACCATCTCATTGCGCAGGCGGAGCTTGCCGCCCCGCACGGCCTGCAGGGACTCTATAGGCTGTCTCGCAAGCTGGCGCCCAAAACTGGCAAGAAATCCATACATTTTCGCAAACCAGATGGCAGCCTTATGACGGACCAGGAAGAACTTGACAGCTTGACGTCCTACTTTCGGGATCTTTATAGGGCAGACCTGTGTCAATTCACAAGTTGGTCCTTGCAACTGCCATTGAACATCAGCCTTGAAGAGGTTTTGGACGCCTTGCAACAAATGTCAGCCCAGAAGGCGCTGCCGCCACAACAGGCACCGGCCGTCCTCTGGAAGACGGCACAGCTTGAACTGGCGCCCCGCATTTGCTCGGATTTCAATCAGGTGCTGGTGCCGGGCCCGCTAAACTTCCCAGAGTCCTGGAATGCAGCCTACATGACCCTTATCCCTAAACCCAATAAACAACCCACCATACCTGCCAACTTGCGCCCCATTTGCATTTTACCGGCCCCGTCAAAACTCCTAGCTCGCATCTTAGCCACCAGATTGAAGCCTTATGTGCAGCAGGCACTCCATAATACGCCCCAGTTCGCTTATCTTAGCCATCGCCAAGCAGCTGATGCTCTCGACCGGGCCTTCGCGCATTGTTGCCGCATCCGAGAGAGACTACAGGCGTTGGGCAGATCGGTCTTTAAGCTGCGTGCCGGAGCCAGGGACACGCTACTGGAGGGAGGTCTAACACTATCATTGGATTTGTCCAAAGCTTATGACCGGCTCCCAAGAGTCTGCCTGTTGGAGTCATTGCAACTCATGCAAATCCCCCAGGACCTACTTTCAGTCATCATGCATATTCATGACCATGCCTATGTAGTACTACAACGGCATGATATGGAATCGCATGCTCCGTTAGGTCAGGGGATACGGCAAGGGTGCGGCTTGTCACCGCTCCTGTGGATAGGGTTCACCCGACTCATCTTTCGTAAGCTCCAGCCTCTCGTCCCCACACAGGCCCTCACGGGATATGCCGATGACTTCTTAGTCAACTGGGAGATCCGTTCGCCCCGAGATTTTACCAATGCGTGCGCTTCTATTCCTAAGATCCTAGCAGCACTGCAAAACCTCGGTATGAGCATTTCTTTGGACAAAACGGTCATTCTTCTGGCCCTCAAAGGCCGAGCGGCGCCCCAACTCTTGAAGACATACACCTGCCACAAGAAGACAGACCGGTTCTTACGCCTAGCGCATGGTGCCCACACCACTCTGCTCCCCATCAGATCCTCACATACATACCTAGGCACTAAGATCGGGTATGGACGTTTCGAAAGAGAGACCGCGCATTTCCGGATGTCTCAGGCCTGGGTGGCGTTTCACCGCTTGCATTCATTGCTAAAGCACCCGTCGGTCCCACTGGCGCGCAGGCTCCAGCTGTGGCTCACATGTGTATGGTCGATCACTAGGTACGGTCTGTCCTCCACGGGGCTTGACGGCACTAGTGCAAGGATGTTGACGCAATCATATTTTCCGACAACTTCGCATAGTTGCCCGTAGCCCAGCACATGTGAGCCACGAGGATAACACCACTCTGCTTCAAAGACTCGACATTCCACATCCCATGCAGCAACTGTCAAAAGCCACCCTCAAGCGCATTGCCCTCAGCAAGCCTCACATTCAACATTTACAACCTGAACATGTGATTCAATGGTGGGATGTGATTGCCAACAGCTTCAGTCAGCATGCATTGCCCCCGACGCAAGGGGTCAAGCTGGTGGAGGTTTCACAGATCCTCCAAGCCCGCTTCGAGTGCAAGGATTGCGGACAGTCTTTCCCCACACATCATGCCCTTCAGGTACACAGAGGTAAATCTCACAAACCGATGGACCCATCACAGCAGCCCGCAGCACAATCCAACAGCAAGCCTAGACGGAACGATGAGCAATTCCGACAGCACGCCCTGCATGGCATGCCTACTTGCAAACACTGTTTGAAATCCTTTCACGGATGGCCGGAATTTTCGGGGCATTTTCGCAGGTCGGCCTGCCCGATTCTTCATGCGGCACCCGACCAGGCCCCCCACGTTTTACACCACGACATCCCTCCTCCTCCCGCTCATGGGGCGTCCGCGCCGGGGGGGACAGAGGGTGCAGTTTCAGATCAGCAGCCTCTTTTTCACAGGCCCGCTTTACAACATTGGCTGAGCGTAAACAACTGAAAGAGCTCGCATCAGCCATCCGAGCCAGTGGCAAGCTAGTGTTCTGCCCTGAGTGTGGGGCAATGGTGCTCCAAGCCCTCGTATTTGTCCCGACATGCCAACAAAATACACCCTAGTATGGCAGTACACCACAGAGAGATTTGCGAGTGGGCCCAGCGCAAGACTAGACTTAGCCAGCCCTGTGAGTGGTGCGGCGCCGCGTACGGTACCAGGCCGGCCACTCACCTGCAGCATTGCCCGGTGCTTTGGATGTGCGGTCACTTTTTCTTGCGTCATGCCTCGCTTGCTGATACAGGCCAGCGCTCCCTTGCAGCTTCCTTTCAACATGGCCGTTCCAACGATGGAGGCGAAGGACAGAGAGGAGCTCATCCAGGCCCAAGCGGAGTTCGAGCAGTTCGGGCAGTACATGAAGGCGAATGCCCGGAGCGTCAGCCCCACCGTGACTCCGATGTCGACGACTCCGTCCCACTCGACAGCTCCCCCGGCCCAGGAGGACATGGACGTGGACAGGAGCAAACGGACGGACGACGCCCCTCCGCAGCTCGAGCCCCCGACGAAGTGGGCGAAAGGGGATGCCAAGGGCGATCCCAAGCAGGACTCGGGGAATCTTCCTCAGGCCAGCGGCAAAGGGTCCTCCGGCGAGCTGCTGTCCAAGGCCGCGGTAGCACTGGGAGCTCAGACGAGCTCAGGCAACGCCAGCTCCCCTTCCGACAGGCCACCTCAAGAGCTGACGACGATGGGCCCCAAAGCAAGCCCGCCCAGTCCGCCCAACCAGGACAATCCAGCTCCCCTGCAAGTGGCCAAGAACCACCAGGGAGGATGGGGCGGCTGGCGAGGCAATGGCGGCCGCAGCTGGGGCTCCAACCAGGGCCGATCGCAAGACCGCAGCCGCCGTGGACAAGACGACGACCGCTGGAACCGGAATCAGAACGACAAGGACAGGGAGCGCGAAATGGAGGACTTGAGGGAGATGATCCGCCACCTGGCGAGGTTGGCGTTGCGTCTCGAAGACGCAATGTCCATATGCAATTTGGACAACGAGTTCATCCTATTTTTCCAGACGGGATCCAACCCGTGGTCGATCACCAAGCCGCTCTTCGAGACAGCAGCGGATTGGAAAGCCAGGAAGGAGTCGGACCCGTCGAGCTTGAGCCAGCCACTCCGAAGTGTGCTGTTCTACTGTGTTTGGACAAGCCTCCTCACACAGCTACGCAAGATGGAGGAGGCATCCGAGAGCAGCTTCATCAACGAGGTGAAGGGCAGGGGATTGACAGAGGACAATTCCTAGCTGGACCGCCGTGACACCATCGGCCGCTTCCACGCATTGCGGCCGTTGACGTCCAACTTGGCGTCGGATGTGATCCCCTTTATGCTCACGCTGCAGAACCGGACGCAGGAGAGCCATCAGCTTTACACCTGCATCCGCCGATTGTGCCGCAACAGCTGCACCCACTTAGTGGGCATGACGCTTCGGCCCAGCCGTCTTGCCCGCTCTCCCCTCGCACAGCAGATCGACAGGCTCCTCAAGCATATCTGAGAGTGCAACCTGCCCAGGCCTGTAATTTAATTTTGCTTAATCGTAGCGCGCACTGCTAGGCTAACTCCATCATTCTGAGCCTTTTGTGGACTATCTCGCAGTGTCCCCAGGGAGCCCAGCTCGACAGCTTAGCATGGCGCCGCTTGCTGGGCTGGCTGGTTCGCAGGCCACAGTCCGTACAGCTTTGGCAAATGCCTGCCTGGTGTGACCTTGTGCGGCTTTGGTCTAATCCTAATAGGCAGCATGACGTAGGGGAGTTTCTGCAACACATCAGCCCATCCATGTTTTCGGAAGCCCAAAGGGGTTTTTGGGAGGCTCGTACGTTACAGCAGCCATCGGGCCTTGTTCAGGCAGAGGATCAGGGAACCATGTGGCCTCTGCTGCTGCCGACAGGCCTGTCCTCGCTTCAAACCGGCACCTCTGTAGTTAGCCCCCAGAAGCTAGTGATTGCCTGGCGCGGTCAGGCCGCCACGCATGCAGCAGTCGCGCTGCCGGAGCTGGCAGTTTTGCAAGTGTGTCGCTTTCGCCCAGATGGTACTAAGGACTTCACCCCAATCAAACTTAGTGAGGCGGTTTACGTACCCTTCTACACGGGTTCAGGGTTGAACACCTCTTCGGCCAGATATACCATTACTGCCGTGGTTTATCATCTGGGCCAGAGCCCGCTGAGCGGTCACTACCGCTCTGCCCTAGTCGCACAGGGCCGCATGTGTTATCACACTGACGATAATGTAGCTGCAGAGGTGCATACAGCTGAGCTTGCTTCCAGAGTCGAGCAGAATTCATATCTCTATTTCCTAAGGAAAACAGTCTGACAGTCAGGTGTTCACACTCTTTTGCCCAACAGGCTCCAAGGCTCATCGGTTCAGTATGACAGGAACAGCCTATTTATTCTATTTATGCTTTTTCTATTCCCTATGATTGCCTACTCTCATATGTCTGCATATACTGAATCGGTTGAGCAGAGCCAGAGGATCTACGTACAGATCCCTCTTTTCGACACGGTTTCCGTTTACAAAGGTTGAGCCGCTGCTTGTCCCGACAGACGCCATTTCCCTGTTGCTTATTGGGCGAACTCGCCGGACAGGGAACACGGGCGATCCAGGGATTTTTACGAGCTGACGTGCCAGCCAGTCTGAAGGTTTCTGTTGCCATATTTGTTACTTCCTTTCATACATACAACATATACCTACCCTTTCAATATCAGACGGCTGAGATTTCCTCGGGGAGCCTACCACAGGCTTGCATCTCCCGATGCCGATGCATATCATCGCCCTCGCAGCGCAAGTACTCTTGCGGCGGTCCGAAGAAAGAAAGTATGTATGTATGTATGTATGTATGTATGTGTGCGTATGTATGTATGTATGTATGTATGTAGGTAGGTAGGTAGGTAGGTAGGTAGGTAGGTAGGTAGGTAGGTATGTGATTA